ATCCAGACAGTTTCAGAATTTTCAATGAGAGAATGAGAACAGAGGAGCATGTTGTTGTAAACACACTGTCAGACAGTACTGAGGAACCAGCCCCTCAGTGTGGAGTGTCAGACTGTCTGTCAGTCTTCACTCCTTCCTGACCTAGTAGGCGGGTAGCTAAAGGCCACGGCAGGGGCTTTGAGTTTGGGCTCCAGCAGAACAGCACTTGAGCACCTAGAAGGTAAACCCTAAAAAGTAAGAACAAGTCCCTTCGAGACTGTCATTTTGATAGTCTCTGGAGGGTACAGGTAGGTGAGCGGGCAGTAACTTAGTAAACTATAAAAGCAGGCTCACTGGCTAAAGCCCTTACCTCCAGAGCTTGTGGAGTTTCCAAGTTTCAATCCCCTGAACTCACATAAGACCAGGGAGACAAAGCAGCTGCCTGCAGTCCTGGCACCTAGAGGCAGCCAGGGCAAGCTCCACTAGCCAGCATTGTCAGCCTCTGGGTTCTGTGAGAGACCCTGCCTCAGTAAAATGGAAAGCCATCTAGGAAGACACTCAAGATCAAAAGCAGGCCTACACACACACATACATGCCCACATAAATGCAGACACAAATGCATACCTGCATGCACACTGCACACATACATGCAAAAAAAGGTTTCTGTAGTCTAAACGAGCATTTTAATTTTCTCTGTACGATCATTTTGCATTCTAGTTATGTTCTCTTGGGGATAAGTGGTAGTTAATATTCAGAAAGTTTCATTTCCCAAATAGATTAGAGTCTCCTCTGGTGAATAAATGACTCACTGTACCATGGATTAAGAGTTAATGTCACAAATAACACAGACTTTTTCCCATCGTCTACTTAAGATGTGTCACCTAAGAACTCTTCCAGCTATTAACCTTGCAAAGAAATTAGTGGAAAGAAATTCCTGAGGCTCTCAGCCCAGCCCTTCCGTAACCTGCACTGTCTTGTCTGGTTTTACAGAGTCGCTCAGGAATGCCCCCATTTACAAAGAAGTCGGTACCTAAACTAACAACTCCCTCTTGCTCTTCTATTCTAAAACTGTGTGTGTGGCATTTCACACAATCGCTGTTCTCTCGTTCAGTCTTTGATAGCATTTTCTTGGTGTTGCTCTTATCTATCCAGTACCAGTTCAGTATTTCCATTGAAACACAATACTGTCTTTGAAAACAAAGCCGTGCTTCCGGGCTTTTCTTAGATTCAGGGTAAAGGTGTGGTTTGGCCACATGAGCAGTGCTGTATAGAAGTGAAATTGAGGAACTTCTACAACATAACCTGACTGGGGACCAGCTTTCCTTGGGTATGTCCTGCTCTGAACCCCACAGTACTTCTTAAGCTCCTTAATTGAGCCTTAGTTTTCTAGTTAAATTTTGTGTGATTTCCCCCCTTTTTTTTCTTTGTAGCAGGCTTTCTCAGACCATCAGCTCCCAAATCATGACGCAGAGACTTACTATTAGTTATGAATGCTCAACTTTATCTTATGCTTGTCCCTTTAATTCTTTTAACTTAATTTAACCTGTTTCTCTTTATCTAAGTTTTGCCTCAGGGCTTTTTCCCTTCTTTCATTCTGTATGTCCTACTTTTCCTGATTCCTTCATGTCTATCTGTCTGTCTGGCACTACCTGGCTGGCTGGCCTCAGGCATCTCCACTCTTTCCCTCTCCTCCTCCTCCTCTTCTTCCTCCCTCTCTCTCTCTCTCTCTCTCTCTCTCTCTCTCTCTCTCTCTCTCTCTCTCTCTCTCCCCCTCCCCCTCCCCCTCCCCCTCCCCCTCCCCCTCCCCCTCCCCCTCCCCCTCCCCCTCCCCCTCCCCCTCCCCCTCCCCTCCCCCTCCCCCTCCCCCTCCCCCCCTTAAATTCCTTCTCCTACTTACTCTCTCTGCCCACCAGGCCCACCTATCCCTCTCCTGCCTAGCTATTGGCCATTCAGCTTTTTATTAGACCAGTCAGGTGCCTTAGGCAGGCAAGGTAAAACAGCAACACATCTTTACATAGTTAAACAAATGCAACACATCTTTACATAGTTAAACAAATGCAACACATCTTTATATAGTTAAACAAATGCAACTCATCTTTACATAGTTAAATGCAGCACATCTTTATATAGTTAAACAAATGCAACACATCTTTACATAGTTGACAAATATTCTGCAACATAAACAAGTGCAGCACATCTTTGCATAAAGTAATATTCCCCAACATAAGCAAACGCAACACATCTTCACATAGTTAAGCAAATGCAGCACACTTTCACATAGTTAAAGTAATATTCCACAACAGTTCTTCTTTTAAATATTGCCCAAAGTTCTTTGAGATTGGAAGTGTGGCTCATGTTTGCTAAATGTGTCTGTGTGAAGTGCTCATTTGCAGTGATTTTTCTGAAGCATGTAACCAGATATAGAATGGCAGGGTTTTCATGGTACATATATGTTAAATTGCATGGTTAATGCCAAAGTCTCAAGAGACAAAACAGTTTTATATCCTCCATTAGCAGAGGATCAGTTTCAGGAAAATGTACAGAGCTGGCTTTCCATAGTGTTTTTTGAATCTAATCTCATTCTCTGCTTTTTAAATGACTTTGTCCATTTACATTTATTGTGATTAGTAGCTTATTAGACATTATTTATCAATTATGTACCTATTACTCTTTCTTGTATTTCAGGTATTCCTTTTGGAATATTTTAAATATTCCCATTAGTATAAAGTTTTGGCTTTATAGTATAAAGTACTATATAGTATAAAGTAAATTCCCTTGGTTTTTTCTTTATATGAGAACTTCATTACTTCACAAGTATATTCTGTACTTAAGAGTCTCACAAATAAACAGCTTAGTAACCAGTCCTCCCAGCCAGCAGTGACCTTTCTTCTATAATAATACCCTTTAGACTAAGAGAAGAAGAGTGCAAGGCGCTGTGAACAGCAAGTCACCAGCAATCTGACAGCTTTCCACTTTCACACAGACACGTTTAGCAAACCCAAGCCAGCACTTCCAGTCTCAAAGATTGGCCAGTCACAGAAAAGCAGGAAACTCGGATTATGGCTGGGGCAGAGCAAACAGGAAGGCGATGGCGATGGTTGGGGGCAAAAGTGTAGACCTTGTCCAGTCTGCCGTGGGAGACATGGTAAGCATTCACTTTTAAGAATGAATGTAGCCGGGCGGTGGTGGCGCACGCCTTTAATCCCAGCACTCAGGAGGCAGAGGCAGGCGGATCTCTGTGAGTTCGAGGCCAGCCTGGTCTCCAAAGCGAGTTCCAGGAAAGGCGCAAAGCTACACAGAGAAACGAATGTAATCCTTCAGAGGGTTTTGATCAAAAGTTGTGGCCCAGATAGAAGCAGAAACTAGGAAAAATGCTGGAAAACATAGGTAGCAGTTAGCGAAGGAAAGCAGCCGAGAGTGGGATTGGTCAAGAGCAATGAGGTCATCGTAGACTATTACTGTCAGAAGAGGGAAGTGTAAGTAATGTACGGAATTTAGTTCTACCCCAGTCTTTGTCTTACCAGGTAAAAGATGTTAAAATATTTCCTGAGGATTCCCTTCCTTCCAATACACATACTTTAATCGATGTATTTCTCTCCACAAAGGTGTGACATTGCTTTTTTAATCCATAGGATCAAGAGTACTTGCTCTGTGCTGTCATTACTGAATTTTAGACAATAGTGTGAGGGTTGGTATTGTTTGACACGTGTTCTCACCCATCCTGAAATGTCCAGTGTGTGTGAAATTGAGTGGTAGTGTTGTTAATTGTTGTGTAGAATAAAAAGAATCTTTTCCGTTTTTCCGATGCCTATGACCAAATGGAACTGGGATTATGCTCAATGGATTTACTGTGCCTGTTGACGTAGGCTTTCAGGCCCTTTACTCATATAGCACCCCATCATACACCAAGGCTGTGGGAGAGGCATTAACAGCATGCTCATAGGCTCTTCTAAGTGTTGGAAGCAAGCTGTTGCAGGTACAGCTGATGAAACTCCTAGACCACCACATCTCATTTCTTCTCTCAGGTACCACTGGTGTGACCAAAGGCATTTTTGACATCTGCCTAAGGAAATATTGACTAGCTTTGGGTTTATATCCTCAGGAAGGGATTCACTATTATTTCATGGTTTCACAGATAGAGCTGGTTCTAGGGAAAAGGTTTTATTCCCCCAGGGGACATTTGTCAATGTCTGGAAACATTTTTGGTTGTCACAGTAGGGTGGAGGTGAATTGGTGTCTAGAGGATGGCAGACCATGGTACTGTTTAAGACCATATGGTGCACAGAACAGACCTTGGACAGACAGTTGTCTAGCTGTAAATACCCAAAGTGCCCAGATTGAGAAAACCCTTAAAGCAAGTGTAACTGGTCCCTGACCCTTCATAGGAATGGTTCCAGGAATTTCCTCCCACCACCCTGTGCTGACTCACCTGGGGTCAGAGATCATCTCTGTCTGTGAGCGTGGCCCATGGTGTCTGGCACAGCGGTCTGTGGAGTGATAGGGGAGAAACAAGGTTTGAAACATACAGGGCCACTAGCCAGTCCAAGGGAAATTCTTTGAAGCAGTAAGTATATATGTGAATTACAGGCAAAGGAATCTACCAGTACCCAGTCAGGATGGAAGCTCTTTCATGATAATATACTAGACCATCTAATACTTCACTGCTTTGAAAGCCTACTTTTTTTCTATTTATGAGACCCATTCTTGTGGAATAATACAAGGGAGGCAGTGAGATGGTCCAGCAGGTAAAGTGCTTCCTGCCTGTACCTGACCACCTGAGTTTGAGCCCAGGATCTCCAGGAGAGAGAGAGAAATGACTCCCAAAAGTTGCCCTCTGACCTCCACATGCATGCAGTGGTACCACATGTACCCACACCAGCATGCACACATCCACAATATTTTTAAAAAAAATCATCCAAGAACTGGAGTGTATCTCAATAATGTATAATGTACACTTAGAACGTGTAAGGTCCTGGATTCAATCCTCAAGGAACACACACACACACACACACACACACACACACACACACACACACACACACACACACACCCAAACCTGCAGCACAAATACAAATACACATGTGAAGTGGCATGTTTCTGTATCCCACTTATCAATACTTCTGATCATGCTATCTTCCTGTCCACTCTAAAAATACTTCAAAACTTGTTGGAGAGAAGGTAAATAGTATGTAGACCCCCAAAAGGCGACATAAGGTGTTTCCTAGAGCTGGTGCCACCTTACTGATCAAAACATTATTTCTGCATTTTTATGGTGTTTGTAGAGTTAGATATTTTTAAAGTTTGTAAGCTTCAAGCTTTACAAACTGAGTGTCTGTCACTGTTCATAGCACCAGCCCATATTTATACCACCTCCATAAACCCTTGCATAGACAGCTCCTTCAGCTTTCCACTTTTACCACATATATTTACAAAGTAACCTGTGTTTATGTGTGCTCATGTCCCTGTCTGCATCCTCAGACACAGGGATCATCTAATCTCACCACCTAGAGCACAAAACTGATCCCCTTTAAATCTTGACAGTATCATCTCTCTGTTGCATCCAAATCTGCCTGAAAAACACCACCAGTCTGGGCAGCAGAGGGCAGGTAGGAAAGAGGAGGTCATACTCAAGGGGGAGCATTTTCATCCTGGATGCTGTTAACCCTGTGATTCCATGGTTGCAGCCTCATCTGCACCTCTTCTGGTGTCTGCCTGTTCTTTTTTATTTCTTATAAATATCCAGCATGGTTTCTGTGGCATCGTGGTGTCCCGTTTTTCCTCCCTACTGCCTGTTTCATGAATGCCCTTCTCTGTCTGGCCAGTAGCTTCTCTCTTGTGGCACGTAGTCTGTATATGTGTGCTCTCGGGGCTAGCAGCCGCCTCCAGGAATGAAGCTCTGCTCACATGCGCCTCTGACCGTTCTCTTGAGCCCATACCCAGCTTTTCCTTCATCTTAAGCTGCAAGCCTGCCTGACATTCCAAACAACATCTCTTTCCCCAGACCAGAAGCATGGGATGCATCCTAGATACTCTTTCCCTTCGGACCTTCCTGATTCTGCTGTTCCGCCTGCCTCCCCTCTCTTCCCTTTGCCCACCACCCCCATAGTTTCTTTAGGTCATCTTCTCAGCTCTTCTGGGTCAGTCCGGCCTTTTGATTGAGCTCCCTGCCTCCAGGACCATCTTCAGCTCTGTCATCTATAGTTCCTGGAATAAAAATGCAGAACATGTAAATCAAGCATGCATTCCCTGCATAAAACTCTCAATACCTCTCCTCCAGACAAAGCCCAGGCTACATCACCTGAGGGCCTTTGTGACCCGGTCCATTCAATTTCATAATCTTCAAATTTCTATTCAAGCTATTGCCTTTGACGGTCACACCTTGCAACCTTGACCCTAAACAGTGTAGCCCATCCCATACCCTGCACACTTAGTGAAGATTGTACTTTGTAACATTTCTAGTAGCTGAAATATACAGAACCAGGTGGCTGCAAATACCCTGTGTCACTTACAACATATAATCTGACTTATTCTATAAGGTAGCTTTAATGGCTTTCCATTTTGCAGATAGGAAACAAAGCGTAGAGAAGTTAATTCATTTTGTCAAGGTGATTGCAACCCATTAAAAAAAAAAAGGAACCAGGATTTAAACCTAAGGTCCTAGATGGTAAACCTGTCTGTGGTATCAAGAATGTTCAGGTAGTAGTTATATGTCTGCCTCCATTGCCCAGCTGAGCTTTTGGGAGCAGATACATGATGTCATCAGTCCTCCTCACACCTGGGATCCGAGGCTTGTCTTACGTAGACAATCCCTGGTAGACAGATGAGTGGGTGAAGGTAACATTGTCCATGAGCAGCGGTTCGTGGATATTGAACAGTAGTAGTGCAGGTGTGTCTGTAGCTCATCTATCTTGGGCACTGTCTGTGAGGACGCAGGGGACAGACAAGTGTCATCGCCGCCTTTGAGAAGAACCGAGTTGATTGAGAATCCTATCTGCTGGAAAGAACTAAGGACTGAGCTCTAAGTGGCACTCTTATTCCTGATCCCAATGGACAGTACTAATTTTTATAAAAATCAACTTGTATTTTTAATCAGCTTACCTTTTAATTGTGTGTTCTAATAACTAATTACATAGCAGTTTAACCACTGACTTACTCAAGTTCTGGGGCGGACAGACTGCCTCGAGCTGTCAGAGCAGCCGCCTGCCTTCCTTGTCAGGCTGCTTTGACTGGGAATAGTCTGCATCTCAGACAGTAAGCTAGCCAGTCCCCCAGTTCAGATGGAAGCAGGTTTCCCAGCCATGCTGAAGCTGGCAAGAAAATAATTCATCTTACATATGTATACAAAAGAAAGATTTCAGTTGCTATTTAAATGCAAAAATAGAATGCTTCAAAAAAAAATAAAGGTGTAGGTATCCTGTGGTTTCTGGAATTGTCCTTGTGGAGAATCACTGAGACACAATCTCTTACGTTCTTTGAAATAGTAGCATGCTTATTTCATAAACCAAAGCCCATATAGGAAAGAGCATTTTCTCCCACCCCATGCAAAAGCTTATAACTGAATGAGGCAAAAAATAAATTAATGACATGAATATTAAGAGGTTACTTATCTATTATAACACTGGGCCACAAGTTGACTAATTAAAAGGAATGCAGGCTGGAAAGCTGCCACAAACCTGCTCCTTTCACTTAGAGGGCCACCGACTGAAGCCAGTGATTGTGCGTGACAGACTCCAGGAACAATGGTGCCGCGCACAGACCGTCAGATGAAGCATGCTCGTCTGAATTACACCAACGATGGGGTGGCCTACAGGCAAACAAAATGGTTAAACAATACATAATCAAGGTTTTATTTGGTATTTCCTGCGAGGCTATACCAGTTGCCAGGGAGCATACTGTATTTTTTTTCCTTTGGCTGTATTAATTGTTGACCATGGTTGGCAGAGCCCCAGACAGGGACAGATAAGGGGGAAAATGGCATCTGGGCATTAAAGCCCCAAGTGTGCTGGGGGAGGGGGCACAAAAATTACAGCATATATCAGGAATTTTCCAACTAACGATGTGCGGATGTGGTGGTGCAAGGGAAAAGCGCCAGACTGAGCTGGCTTTGTTCGCCGAGAGAGGCCCTGTAACATTCTTTTTAGCTGTGCATATTTTGTCTTCATTTGTACAGTTCTAATTTTTTACTGTGTGGAAAAGCTCAGTTCCAGCTGATTGGGCCTAATAATTCTATGGCAATAATTAAAGTTCATGAACAACTGTGTTATTAGTTACATAGAAGTGGCTTCACAAACTAACTGTAAGCTGAACAATTTTTTAAGTGGCACACCATTACTACAAAGGGTGGCGATAATTATTTTCTTTTGATTTCACAACAGTTTGTTTTTTTTTTTTTTTAGGCAGTATTCATTAATGGAGACAAGCAAGAAACAATGTCTTAAAAGCTTTGGGTAGGGGTAGAGAGGTCAGTCTGAGAGTGATTATAATGCACATTCTTAGCCTATAAATAAAAAAGTTTCCTTAACTAGTTTGTACCCTGGACATCTGTGATAGAGACCATGTCATCAGCTGCTTTGGGATTCTTTTTTTTTTTTTTTTTTTGGTTTTTCAAGACAGGGTTTCTCTGTGTAGCTTTGCGCCTTTTCCTGGAACTCACTTGGTAGTCCAGGCTGGCCTCGAACTCACAGAGATCCACCTGCCTCTGCCTCCCGAGTGCTGGGATTAAAGGCGTGTGCCACCACCGCCCGGCGGGATTCTATTTTAAAAGGGCATAAACAGTCACTTGCAGAGACTGGGTGATCATGTTTTAAACAAGATCTCACTTGTGCAGGCTGGACTGGCCTCAAGCTGGTGGCAACCCTTCTGCCTCAGCCTCCCAAGTACTGGGATTGCAAGCACAAGCAGCTTTGTGATTTTGTTCTAATTCAGAAACACGGGGGAAGGTCCCACCGGAACACAGATCCTGTCTTTAAAGATTGGTTAGCCCGGAGCCTTCACTCTAACAGTAGTGATTGTAGTATTTGTTGAAAGTGAGAGACAAGGCATAGGTTTCTCAGGAACTTCGGGTGGCAGTGGCAGAGGTCTATCTGGATGCCTGGTGACCAGCTCAGTGGCCCTGACATGGGCTTGAATTCTGGCTCTGATTTGTAGCTAGTTTGGACTTTGCTCTCCTTAATAATGTGTTCTGAACATGTCAGGATATGGGCAAAGCACCCAGACCCTGTCTCATAAGAGCCTGTTATTTAAGGGTATGAAATGTGTCCAGTCCTTAGTGAAATGTGAGGCATACAGAAAACCATGTCAAACTTTGACTGTGGTATGTCATCTTCTCTCTGTGAAGCTCTGGGGTGCCTTTGGGCTTCTCAGCACATTCTGGTCTGTCTGCATTAGAGCGGAGTATGTTCAGTTAATCATCATTGAAATTCTGTAGCAGATAGCAAGGAAAAGGTTAAATGGTCTGTAATGATAGAGGGGACATAGTTCTTCTTATTACTGTTAAACATTCCTTGAGAAACTACAGTTTTATATCTATTTATTTATTTATTGGGGGGCACATGTGCGTGATGAGTGTGTGATCAGAGAAGAGCCTTCCGGAGTCCATTCTCCCCTCCCGGATCCCGTGGATCAAACTCAGGTCATCAGGCTCAGGGTCAAGCACCTCCACCCACTGGGCCGTCTCTCCAGCCCTGATAACTCTCTTCAGAAGCATTCAAGACCCCGTTATTCATCCAGGAAATCTGCCGAACAGTACCTCTCAAATGGCGAGCGAGATGGAGTGAGCTACAGGATACAGGTGCTTTATGACGGGCAGGTGCCGCTCGGAAGCCACAGCCACACAGGAAGAGGGAGCTGGTCTCCCCGCTGCCTCGTCCGGGACTGGGAGAGTTTCCTCAGGACTTCTCTCATGATGTGTACATGCCAGTTCCATCTTCTCGTGTGTCTCCCTTTCTGTCCCTCACTAAAGGTGTGGCTGTATTGTTGATGATCCATGTGTAGACTCCAAACTTCTTCAGATTCCCAGAGCTCCTCAGCCAAAACAAAGTCTCTGTTTCAATAGGAACGAATCCCTGACATCATGTTTTCTCTTCTTTTCAAAGTAAATCTTACATCCTGAAGACATTTTGATAATTAAATATTATTCCTCTTGTCTTGTCTTCATGTTATTATCTTTATAGCTTCTTTTGAATAATGTATTTGAGACTAAAAATTGTATATGTGTGGTGTTCTCATGAGATCTTTGCTTCTTAACATTAGGATAAAAAAATCTTTTCCACTGGAATAACAGTAATAAGACAGATGTAGTCAGCTTTGCTTTTCGGTTCGACAAGGCATTTTCTCTTCCGCTGCTTTTTAACGATTTAGCCTGTCTTTAATTTTAAGCACTGTTCTTCTAGTTATATCCCAATAGGAAGCCGCAGCCGCCCCCCCCCGCCCCCCCCCCCCCCCCCCCCCCCCGCTGTAGCCTGGCTTCCCATTGGCTAGCTGGGGAAAGGGCATTTCTGCATAAATTGGATGCTTCCTTCTCCCCTGGAGACCAAATACGCTCATGTTTCCCAGCCCCCTGCTTTGTAAGCTTGAGTCCATAGCCTGAATCTGGAAAGGGTCACTTTGTAGAACACCGCACACATCGAAATCCAGATCCAGGGGCCCCTGACTTGCCCGTGGGTCCGAGGGCAGAGTTAATACATCCTTTCTTCCTAATCCAGTGTTTCTGTGTTGCTCCGCTGAAATCAGAAACCGATGTTCCTGCGAGGTGTCCTTCAAAGGAAGGTATTTCCTTTGTGCAGCTCCAGGGCACACAGAACCCAAGGGGTTAACCTGAGAGCCGCTTTGAAAGCAGGCGAAGGTCACTGCCGGCAGGAGCAAAGGCTTTTAAAGCCTGCCGTCCCCACCCAGGGGATTGTAAACATTGGCTCGCTGCCACTGCGTCCCATAGCACAGAACTTCGTGCTCCACGCTCACGGTTCTGCTCTTTCATGGACAGCAAAGCCGGGCGCTGCTGCTGCTGCAAGCCCACAGCCCAGAGCGAGTCTCTCTCCTTAAGGAAACCGGAGGAATCCTGCTCTGCAGAATTCAGAAGTGCATGCCTGCAAAGCTGTGCTTTCCCTGCAACCATGCTGCTGCCTGACTTTAAGTCCAGAGAATGTGTAGAACGCCCGTCAGGTTCCACAAGAACTGTGTGTTACCTGCCATTTGTTAGTAACTAGCAATAATGCCCCTATCTCTTTGTCCCCTGGCTCAGTCCAGGACTCTCAGATATAAAAGCTGGCGACAAGAAAGCCCCTACTGCCTTGCTTCTTGTGTTCTCTTTTTAAGCAGAGTTTTTTGGTCACCAACAAAGGAATGAGGCTTTGTGTGTAAAATTTAAATAAAGTTGCTGTAGTCTCCAGATCATGGTTATTTGGTGAAAAGGAACCAAGGGGATTTGGGCAGGATGTACCCATTTATGTCTACTTCAGAAGTCTGCGGTCCTTCAATCATTGATCCAGTTTCATTAGAAGAGAATGGAATTCTCAGAGAGATGTGTGGCTTGAGTTTCTCCCCACTTAACTGTTTAAAATGTTGTAGAAAGTCATTATTATTCGGTCTCTATGAAACTTTATGGAATTCCAGGTATTTCACGTGCTATTTCTCCCCTCCATAATTTCTGAAGCCAGGAACAGATGATTCACCTCTATAGACCCAGGCAGTCCAGCAAGAGGGGTAGAAAAGCATACCCCATATCGTTCCATTTTGTTACCGTCTTTTTGTGTCTGTATTTTAGGGACAAACATATAAGGTCTTGATCTTTGTGGTGTGACTTCTGTGAGCATATTTTATAGTAAATTTGAATGCTTACCTGTAAGAACTTTATCACTCACACATATTCCTGTTAAGCAGAAGTGTTTAATTCTGGAAAAAAAATAGAACATGGACCATCACTCCTAAGGGTACCACACAGACACGTAGCCACGGACCATCACTCCTAAGGGTACCACACAGACACGTAGCCACGGACCATCACTCCTAAGGGTACCACACAGACATGTAGCCACGGACCATCACTCCTAAGGGTACCACACAGACACGTAGCCACGGACCATCACTCCCAAGGGTACCACACAGACACGTAGCCACGGACCATCACTCCTAAGGGTACCACACAGACACGCAGCCACGGACCATCACTCCTAAGGGTACCACACAGACACGTAGCCACGGACCATCACTCCTAAGGGTACCACACAGACACGCAGCCACGGACCATCACTCCTAAGGGTACCACACAGACACATAGCCACGGACCATCACTTCTAAGGGTACCACACAGACACATAGCCATGGCTGCCCTCTAACCTTTCACTGCACCTGGTAAGATTCGTGGATTTGCCTTTTCCCCTCAATCTAAATGACCCTTAAAGGTTTTTCAGCGTCTTCTGGGATTATAGTTTTGTTTTATGGAATTACAGATTTTCTTGGGTACTTACTAATATCCTATAGATCAAAGTTGTTTCTTTAAATGTCCGGTTCCTGAGAATGTCACCCATATCATGTATTGGTACATAGTACAGTGTCCAGATGGTGTCACTGAGCATGTAAATAAAATTTTTGAAACAAGAGTCTCTCTGTGTAGCCCTGGCTGTCCTGGAACTTGTATAAAGACCAGGCTGGCCCCCAACTCACAGAGATTTCCTTCCTCTCCCTCCCAAGTACTAGGATTAAAGGTGTGCACCATCATACTCAGCTTGTGAATTTTATTCTTAATTATAGGATTCTGTTGTTGAAAGGACTATAGTAATAAAGGTTTGTGGTTTCATAACTATTTTTGGAAGCAGTGGCCCAATAATAACAAAATTACCCTTTTCAAGATAAATATATAGCAATTGTGTGTAACAAACACAGACTGGTGTATCTGGAAAGAAAAATGCAGTTCTCGGGCCTGAAAGATGGCCCAGCAGGTATAAGCAGCTGCCACACACACCTAATAACCTGACCTCAGTCTTCAGATCTCATAGTAGATCAGAGAGCTGACTCCTGGAAGAGCACCCTGATGTCCACACACATGCATACAGTCACACAGCACACATACACACAAACCCTACTTTCTAAATCTCAGTCTAGAATTCTCTCCCTCAGCCCATCTACTGCTGCTGTTCCTTTACATGGGACGATGTTCCCTAGTGACCAAAGGTAAGATGAGTAGATGGCTGGTGGGCACACCTCAGCAGGGAGGGATATTATTGTAAATGTGAGCAGATAGTTTATCCACTGAGCACGTGGTAATGCTTGATCCTCAGGCCCTGGTGACTGACATTTCAAGTTGTCGTACCTCAGATTCACTATTTGCATCTCACAACTTCTCTAATGCCCACTGGACATGCGACTTTACATTACAATAGTTAACTCTATTCAGAGCTATAACAGTATGACCAAAGCTGTTCACAGAGGCTAATTCATAGCACTAACTGCTTTTATGACTAAATGAGACTGAATATAAATAATACAAAAGTCTTCAGTGCAAAGAGGAACAAAAAACGAATTCTTTCAAATAAGCATCTACTGTATTTAAATAGTTTTAAAGGACCAATGGAAAGTTTTGTGTGTGTGTGTGTGTGTGTGTGTGTGTGTGTGTGTGTGTGTGTGTGTATTCATTATGGAAAGTAACAATATTTAAATGAACGTTAAATTAATTTTAATTATTTAATCATAAATTATTAGACATGAAAAGTTTTAAGTAGAAATATTGAACAGGAAAATAGGCCTGAGACATGTTCCCTCATTAAGAATAACAAAAACAATCCTTTGACAAAACTGACCAGAGAAACAAAGTGTTATGGGCACATCAGAGAGCATTGCTACTGGGTGGGAGAGCTTTTAGAAGAACCTAGGGCTAAGGAGAAGGCTCATACAGGCTAGGAAGAAGTACGGATTGGCTTCTCTGTCGACCCAGCCTTTTCCTCACCCTTCCTTGTTGGTGACTTTTTCTTTCCACTAAGCTGGGTAAGAAAAAATAAATATCTGTCTTATATATTTTGTAGTTTCACTTACAGGCAACAGACCGGGGAAAATATACCTGATAAAGATAAAAGGTAGTTTGGAATCATATAAAATAAATATTTATAATTTTCAATTCATTTTAAGTCACTGTTGGCTATCACTATCCCTGTGATATAAGAACTAAGTGTTGAAGTGTCTGTGTGTGTGTGTGTGTGTGTGTGTGTGTGTGTGTGTGTGTGAACAGACATGGATTGTCTTGATAGGTTAGTGGCTTGGGAGGTGACTGAGTGTGGCAAAAAGAAGGGAGGAAGAGGAGGAAGAAGAGAGAGAAAATGCAGAAGGAAGCCAGCCGAAAAAGGAAGGAAGGGTATAGGAACCGGAAAAGGGTGGAGAGGAGGTGTGGGGCGTTTACCCAACCACCCCCACAGTTCCCCAGAGTTTTCTTGAGTGCGAGCAGCAGGAAATATTAGATAGAAGGATTTATTGCGGAGAATATCGCGGAGATAAACAGATAGACAATAAAGGATAGCCTCGAGAGGGCCTGGAACCTTTTCCAACGGGCCCCGACTGTCTCTGCCCCAGGGTTTTTATAGAGACGCCAAGGGGTGGAGCAAAAGACCTCCTCCCCCAGCCCAGCCAAGTGCAGACCATCCCAGACACCTGCACTCAGGCCCGTGGTCTAATCATCCTCTATGTGGACCTGCTGGGTAAAGCCACGAGGAACCCGAGAACGGGCTCCCACAAGGAGGCACAGCAGCTAAAAGCGCACAGTACTCTGTAAGAGGGCCCGAGTGGTTCCCACCATCCACATTCAGGTGCCTCATAACTGCCAGGAACTCCAGCGCCAGGGCACCTGGGGATCACCTCGGGCCACCGCAGCACCTGCATCTCTGCACAGTAAAGAGCAATTATGACAAAATATTGCTAACGTACCACATCAACCTACTTTTCATTTTTAAGAATTTCCTCTCATGAGGTAAATTCCAAAGACTTTGCCCTTTTGCTTCTATTTGAAAGTGAATTTTTTGTATCACTCCTAAGATTTGGAATCCCAAGACAGTGGCATCCATTCTCGAGCTCAGAAAAATACTGATTGTGATGTATGGACTTATCTTTGACCTAAAACAGCCTCTGGGTTGGTGATAGGTTGGTGATAGGTGATAGATAGGTTAGCATTACCAGAGTTCCTTCCCATTAATGCCAATTAGGTAGATTTCGCTCCAGATCTGTGTTGATCCAGAAGTTACTGATGGGAGTGTCAGGCTCTTGGTACCTTGGGTCTCACTGCAGAATCCGTAAGTTTGCTCAGCGACTGCTTCTTACACTTCTGCATTTACGTAATGAA